GTTTTTTTCTGAGAACTCTAAAAACAATATAAATTTAAGACTTACTGACAAAACAACCTTCAAACTGAAGAAATCTTAAACTAAGGGAAGCTCTCCGGAAAGAATTACAGCATTGGACCACAAAATGAATGCACTGGGGAGAGCCTCTCTTTCTGCAGGCCCTTTTTTATTTCTTTCAAAATTTGCTAGATCTGAGCACCTCTCTCAAGAGAGCACAAATCTTGCTATGGTATCCTGCCGATTGAGGCAAACTGGCCACTACATAATTCAACACTGGAGGAAGTTGACATTAGGCAACCCAAGAACAGGAAAGCGAACTCAGAAGGGTCACTAATTGGAGCATGGGAGAAATATGAAAGCCAACCTCGAATGCAGATATACGGTGATGGATATTTTCTTGCATCTGGGTCTTACTGCTCCCTCACCATATTAATGTTTGTTCTTACTACAAGATTTGGTATCTCAATCGATCAATTCAATTATAACATAAACAATCCATTTTGAAAGTATTGTGCACTTCTGCTTTTCCTGCTGCCTTCCCACACAAGATGGAAATGATTTTGAGGGCCTTATGCCAGAATAGACATAACTGTATACTTTCACTCTAACTCCATGCAAAGTTAAAAGTCATCTTTTTGACGTGCATTCCCCCGTCAGGAGACAGATGCCTCATCTGGCCAGTGTCTGTTGGATTTGGGAGACAGATACAATTGCAAAGACGTGAAATCTCCTGCCAGTGACAGTTTGAGGCATGAACATATTGGACACTCAGGGCTCCCACAGGAATTCAAGCAGTTGGAAAGATGTCTTCAGAATCACCGCAGGATATTTTCCCAGTAGCCTCCCACACCCCCAGCTTCACCAGTTGGCTGTTTGCAGTACCTGCCCCTCTGCTTGTTGCTGCTGCTCTGCCACTCCAGGAACATCCTTTCCCAAACACTAGGCCACCTGGGGTCCTTCTCCTTAGTCGGTCAGTGCCCTGATCAATCATTCTTGACTTTCAAGGACAATGCGATCTAATTCTTCCTAGGCAGGAAACACAATAATAAAACTCATGCTTTAAAGCCGGTGCCAGAAAATGTCCATAATTCTGAACAAAGTCATTTTATTCAGCCATGCTAATAAAGAGTTTCTGAACTGTTGCCACCTTTCATTTTGTCTTTACAGTCATATTAGCATGGCGATTTAATACAAAACTATCCTGTGGCCAAATCAGTGCTTTACAAACCTATAAAAAAAGGCTGTATGAGGTACAAATCAAAAAAGATTATGTTTTTTTATAGGATTAATGGTACTTTTAACAGTGATATTTGTAATTCTGCCTTTCTTTGATTTTCAGTCAGGAAGCAAGAACATTTTTAGTCATTTATTGCAACTTGGGCGTTCAAGCTTTTTGCTGAAGATATGGAGACACATTCTGTCCCAGCTATGTTTATGTAAATCTTTTACTCAGCTGATTTCACGACTGACACTGTGATTTTTGATGGTGTTATGGAAAGCTGACATTGACTTCGCCTCCCTGTCTAGAAGCATTTCTAGCAAGTGACCAGTTCCCTTTCAGGTTTTCAGGGAGAATACAATTTCCTTCCTTCCTCTCTGTCAGGAACAGCTGCTGCCATTACCTGTGCACAAGGTTTCAGGAAGTTCAAATCACAGCTCCGGTGCCCGTACCCAGGGATTTTAGAGGAAATGCCTGTCCATCAGTCCTTCCTGCCACAACACATTTTGCCTGAGCTATTCTGAGGAGGCAGTTGTTACAATTCCAAGAATGGACAATAAAAAGGAGAGACCGAAGCTTATCCTTTGAAAAACAAATTGAAGAAAAAAGACTTTAAGGGAGCTCATACATATTTTGTTTCAAATACAAATGACATTACAAATTGCATACAAATACAGATACAAATACAAATACTTTACAAATATGTTGTGAATGAGAGTACATCTCTTCAATATTTCATTGCTAATGTATTATCAAAACACAATATCTTCAAAACTGGTAAAAAACCTCCTTTTTATTTCATTAAAAGAAACTGCGTATCACTGTTCTACTTCCAGTGACTGTGATCTCTTTCATAGATACAGGTATAAGTTAATAAATAAGCAAAGTAATAATTGTGATAGTTTTGCAGGATGTTTCCTGATAGATGGCAAGCCAGAACTGTTCACATGCATTATTATGCCAATGTTGTCTTCTATGTAGATCATATGCAGAAAATGCAAACCTACAGCTCATTTAAACTCAGAAATGTTAAATTTTTGTTGTACGTTCAAAATGATGTGTTGTACCTCTGAGAGACTACATGACAAAGCGGTAAATTACATGAAAAAATAGCACCCTGTTATGACATTATGATATGATGCAACTTTTAAAATAAAATAAAACTATAAAAATAATTCTATAGAATAAATTATACCCAACCATTTTGTTTTGATTTTGTTTTTCTTTAAATAGAATCATTGCTTTAGAAAAAAAACTTTTTTAGGGAAACATATTTGAAACTGATGCTGTTCCATGCAAGCAGCTTACGATGAACATTGACCAACACTTTTCCAACTAGTTCTGTGGCTATTTAACACTTTGTCAGCTGACAGAATATCTCACTTAGTTGAATAGAAGCCTATGTTTTTAGAAAACAACTTACCACAGCCAATACTTAAGCCTCAAGGAAATTGCCACTGTTACAGTAACACCGATTCTATCCTGAAAATCCATGCAAACACAAACATGTATCTATATATCATTACACACATATACACATATGTATTAATATAGTGGGTATATATTTTTAACCTGGTCTTTTTGTTTGTTTACTTCATAGGTAACTGAGAAAGCATTATTGTCTCTGTTTTATAAATGGGAAACTGCAATAATGATCTCTTATTCATTAGATCAAAGACGATTTAATGGAGATGCCGGAGGAGTCCTTTGAGTGAGGAACCTGCCTTGAGGAGGAGCATCCTCAGTTTTGATCCCTAATCAAAGGACAGCTAATCACGAGGAGCAAGTCACATTCCTTATGCCTTCCTGCCAAGGAAGCTCTGTGCCTCTGCAGCAGGCAAGGCACTTTCAGCTATGGATATAAGGAAGCGAGTAAGTACCACGCTCACAATCGTACAAATAAAGATTAAAGAAAACTAGCATTCAAGAGCCTTATCCTGGGAATCCCAAACTGAAACTAAACTGCAAACTCTTGAATATTTTAATGATAGTAGCTGCTGAGCTCATGACACACGTAAGCTGGAAAAACACTTAAAAATATGTAAGACAGGCCACTGGATGACATGCCACATTTGGCCCTGGAAGGCTTGGACTATGTTCTTGTTCTGCTACTATTTTATTGTGCCAGTTTTGAACAGTCCCATCATCTGCTTCAATTTCTTCACCTCTTTTTTTCATAAAACTACAGACTCTTCAGGATAGCTTTTGTCCCACGCTTCGTTTCTGTGTGAGTCACAAAGAAAAGGCAAGAAGGGAGCCTGATCTCAACTGTGGTCTCCAGGTAGCCAGGGCTAACAACTGCACCACACTTTCAAACACTGCTGAATTTGTGAGTTTGGCACAAATACACTGCAAGTTAAGTATTAAACAGAATTAGCAATCATTTAGGGTTCTTCAGTTACCAGTGTATAATGCAACCACCGCAGCGCCAGCAAGGAAAGGTTTGATACCACTCAATAATGAACACATATCACTGGTTCATTACAATAATTTAATAAATTGCTTATTTGATATTTTACATCCTATACAACAATGCAAGGCTTTTTTTCCTTTTCTTTGTGATTAGTACTAGTGATGTTCATTATGTGAAAATAGGGGAAAAGATATGTGTCTGCCGATCATGTTATTCATGCTAAAAACGTATTTGGCAAGTTCAGGTAGGTAAATTCAGTTTACTGTCAGCAGAGGGCAACACAGGCCTCATTAGGGAATAAAACCAAAACCATATATTAAGAAATCACATCGAATTTCTACTGTAAATGAGAATAAACCCCTGTACGTACACCTGTACAATTGCTGCAAAGCCTCAGATTTAGAAGCATTAATCTTTTACAAAATCATTTTGAATGCCCTGTGTAAAACATAAGTGAAAGAAGAAAGCACAGCAATAAAGGCAATGACAAATCCCTTTGCTTTGACTAAAATGCATCGAATTTTAGGTGTTTACTGCATAATCTGACATGTCCGGCACACTTCATTATATCCAAAAGTTACCTGTGAAGCTAGTTTTATATTTATTTTAACACTATGTATAATAACAGCTCAGTTTGTCATCCAAAAGGCTAGTTGGTTATGCCACAAGTAATGCAGTACAATGCTGAACATGGGAAGTTTTACAATGTTCTTTCTGTTCTGTGTTAACCTGAGTTATGCTACTCATTTACGCCACTCGGTGTGTCGCACTGCCTCTCCCTAGCTGTGCTTGCTCGAGCAGGACCATGTCATGACCAAGGCTGACATTTAAAATCACACGAACATCTTTTACGTTTTCTTCGGGCTCGGGGATGAAGGGAGACAAGGAGCTTTTCCCGCTTTCCCAAGCAGAGCGTTCCCAAAGCCCTGCCGGCCGGGCCTGCCTCCAGCTCCCGCTCCATCAGCGGGGCGGCCGGGCACCGGGGGAAGGCCCTGCCCGGCACGGAGGCCCCAGGGCAGCCTCATCCCGGCCCTTCATTCACCCCACAGCCATGGCAGAGACGCAGCAATGCCCAAAACGCGGCGGCAGCCTCAGTGGAAGCTGTGCCCGCACACCTGGGGCAACTTATTTCCACGGCTGCTGCTTTCAGCCCTGCCGTGGCCCCAGGGACAGCATAGGAGCTCACACTGAATGTGTACACACACACACACACACACACCCCTTCCATCCCCATGGCCGTCTGACAACTGGACGCGGCTTCTCTACCCGGGGGCAGCCTCCTGCCCACGGGGACAGCAAGAGGGGCTGCCCACGCTGAGGCAAGCGCCCGCCGCGGAGCTGGCGACCGCAGCCGGTAGCTCCCCCGGGGCCCGTCGGCCGGTCCCAGCGCGCAGCCGCTCTCCCGCCCGCTCGCCAAGATGGCGGCGGCGGGGCTCAGCGCCGGGCAGGAAGCGGGAGGGAGGCGCCATGTTGAGGCCCGCCGCGGAGGTAACGGCGCCGGCCCCGCTGCCGGCGTTAATGGGGGGGGGAAAGTTGTAGCGTTGTGTGTATCGCCAAGGGCAGCGGGAAGGAGGCGCGCAGCTCCCCTCTCCTCCACGGTGATATCGGGGAGGCGCTTCCCTGTGCCCTGGGGGTGAGGTCCGGAGGGTCGGCGGGACTCCCGCCCGGCCTCCATTCCCAGGAGCGCACATTCCCCCCCGCTCCGGCCCTGGTCCGGTTTGCCCGTTGGCGCCGTGCCGGTTCGGTCTCGGGGGCCAGAGTGGGAGGGGAGCAGCAGTAACAGCTTCCCGAGGAGCCGGGGGGACGCTGGTGGGCGGGTGGGTGCTTGCTTCTCCTTCTGCCTTGGGTGCCCCACAGGCCTGAGGAGGGGGCGACCCTTTTCCTTCTAAGCGATAACAGCAGTGGAGCAGATTTAGGCTAGGTGGGTCTGAGGGTGTGTAGGAAGAACAGGCCTGAGGGGATTGGAGGTTTTCATGAAGGCTTTGGAGAAAAAAACATGGAGTTAGCATACCCATGGCATCGCTGAGGGGCATTTTGGAGCGCTGGTGCTGTGTGAACTGGCCCACCTGCTTTATGGGAGTGATGGCCAGCTCATTTGCAGGCCTACCTCCACCTGGTTTCTTGGGCTAGTGACCAAGATGCAGGTTACAGTGGTGTTGGTCAGCTGCTGGCGTCCTGAGGCTGACTCCAGACCTCTTCCAGACAAGTTGTCATCTATGGCAGGCTTCCACATCAGGCAAGCCTCAGCTGCTTTCAGACAAATACATATGGCTGGGCTGCTTCTCCCAGCTGTTGTAATTACCCTACTGATTTATATCATAAGTGGATGTAATTCCCACGCTCAGAAGAGGCTGACCTTGAAGGCTGCAGGATGGATATCTGTAATGGTTGTAGTCTGGGAGTTTTTAAGTATTTTTAGGTATTTTTTCTATTGGTCTTCATGACATATTGATGCCTTGAGACAAGTCAAATGCTGGCGTAAATATAGAAAGGAATTAGCGTTCACACTTTTCAATGTAGTATTATTTTAATATCTAAATATATATAAAGAAACATTTCATTTCACATGTATTTCGCATCTTATTTCAGCCTGTGTCAGGTGTTTTGATCAAGACTCTTAAAATGTTTAGGCATGGTGTACTTTAATATTTCATAAGTATTGATGTTTTAGCAGAAGGTATTTTAGCACTAATAATATCTAATAAATACTGTTTGATTTGAGGGTTGAGGGTGGTGGAGCACTGGAACAGGTTGCCCAGGGAGGTGGTTGAGGCCCCATCCCTGGAGATACTCAAGGTGAGGCTCGACAAGGCCCTGGGCAACCTGGTCTAGTTGGGGGTGTCCCTGCTGACTGCGGGGGGGTCGGACTAGATGATCTTTGGAGGTCCCTTCAGACCCAGATGATTCTATGATTCTATTATATCATACACTTGCTCTGTAAAGGGGTCAGGAAGATATGTGCTCTTCTGCATACAAAGGATTTATTTTTAAGGCGGAAAAGTTACATCATTTTTCAGTGAAATGCCTGTAAAAGAATGATAAAGCAATATCTGATGTGAGTATGTCCCTGACAATGGAAGGACACATAAAAATAGTATGGAGCTGAGGCTTAACCAGAAACAGAATGTTAAAGCAATAAAAAGTCTGTGTTCAACTGACAAATGATCAAAACCTCAGAAAAGTTCATAAACCGTGTTATTATTACTTACATATTCCATTTTTATTATTAATTTTTCAGCATAATTTGCCATAAAGAGGCATTGCAGACTGAACATTTACAAGCCAACTACTAGCTTGTAGTGTGCCAGAGTTGAAGTCTTTGCTAGCTCTACATGAATAAGAATAATCTTTAAAGCTATTTTGTCAAGGAAATGTACTCGAGAGAAAGAATTGCTTGTTCCTCTCTAAAATGATTCATGGTTTGTTTCTGAAGTATTAAGTGAACAAATGTACTTTGAATAGATGCGTCTTAAGTACATTTTTACTTGTTGATTTAGGCTCCTGTCAGCAAGCTAGTCTGCTCTGTTGGATTTCTGTGCCAATGCAGAACCTTACCGAAAGAAGGATATGAGATCCACCTCAGGAAGAGCTTTGTTTAGATTGAGCCTTTCCAGGTTTCAAATCAGTACATCTGCAAGAGGATACAAACAGTATTTATGGAGAGTGAAAAACAAGTGGACGTGCAAGAATGTCAGATGAGATCTGTCACTTAAAAGCCAGTTTTAAGCCAGTTTTAAGCCTAAAGCTAACAATTTCTTCATCTCAGTAGGTTTTAAAAAAACCCCTCACAAATAATTTTACCTAGGTAAATGAAGAAAAAATCCAAAAGGAAGTTAGAAAATAGTGGAGGAAAGCTCAAATACCAAGTGCGAACATGAGAGGTAACATGATTATCATCATTCTAGGTGAAAGGGAAAGTATTGGCACGTCTTTTACAGTTACAATAGAATGCTCAAAACGCTGATATCTTCATGTACTGGTCCTTGGAGCTATGTTGTACATAATGGTGTAATCTTTCTTCTTCAAAAAAGTAATCTGATAATTTGGCCTGGTGTAAAGATGGGAACACTAGAGGTTTACAGCCTTAAAAGAAATGCTAAACAGCTCTCAGTGTTTTACTTCGGAAAGCATTATAGTGTATAAGCCAATCTCAGTATATTGGAGATTTTGAATTATGATTTCTCAGTGTTTGGAGGACAGCATTTATGAATGCTTCTGGTGCACAGACATTGAGTAGAGGGAGCAGTGCACATGTCTGATACACTCCCAATGGTGTCGAGAGAGAGCGCTTCATGAACTGGAACTGTTAGATTACCTATAAAAGGCAATAAAGTTAAGCTGCGAGCTTTCCTTTGGAAGATATCATAGCCTTACTGAAATTATTTGGCTTGTTTGCTCTCCTGAGTGATTAGAAGTATGAATATGAACATTTGTTCATCCAGATGAACAGTTTAGGAGACCAAACTATTGAATTAAAATAGTTAAATTAAATAAATAGTTGAATTAAAATAGTTCATTAATAAACAATGACACTTAGCTGCTTAAATTGTAGTGGTGTCACCTGGTATGTTTCTTGGCTGAGGAAGAATGTTTATAGCATCCTCTTGCTGTGGGAAAGTAGTGTAAAATTCTTCATGTTGTCTTTCAAATTTGTCAACAATAATAATAATAAATTATTCTTGTTTTAAAATCTGCTACTGTTGGATAAACGTGAATGTTGTCGTTTAACAAATAAAAATAAAATAATTTCACACAGTGTAGTTTTGGTTGGGTACTAAGGTAGGTGAGGTTATAGGAATGGTATTAGCATTTTCCACTTGTGCCAGGTTAAGCTTTGCTCTTCATGACAGAGGCATGTTGGGAAGATGGCAAATGTACTTCTAGCAAGCTTGGGCTTTTTTTGTGCAGATTATAAGCTCTACTCTTTAGTTTGCAAGAGACTCTGTTAGTTTATAATCACAAAAATTACTATGATTTCTGTAAAATGGTGTGCAGCCCCCTAAAAAGCTTGAACCCCATGATAAACTTTGATCTAGCAGGTGAGCTTAATTAGTGCAAAATACCTAAGTCACAGTCTATCTCCCTGCCATAGCCAGGTAGCATTCATTCATGTCTGAATCTTCTGCTTAAATTTCATTCAACACTCTTCTCTTCCTATGTGATTTGTCACTTGTGGACAAAATGGTAATTCATGTTTTTAAAATGTGCCCGCATGTGTCAAAAGCCTGACTTTTGACCTGCTGGAAGCTCCAGCTTGTACTTCATACTGGCAAGTAGTGGCAAGCGGCTGAGAGAAAAGCTATTCCTCTGCCAGCTTTGATAATGGTTTGTTGTAAAAATTTGAAAAAACAGAGAGCCTCATAGAAAATTTGTGTGACCAAACGTGAAAGCATGATTTTGAATGAAGTTAGTTAATACTGAAAAATTATCTGGTTGTAGATCAGAGAAGCCATGTAAGTTTTTCTGTATGTGAAATGGTGCAAATTTTAAAGCAAACAGAAGCACATGTTAATAACAGTTAATAACAAATCTCTCTGAACTATGTATGCGTTTTATTATTGCCTCATTGAATCATAATGTATTAGAATGTATTGTGCATATGTATATGTATAGCTATCTTATTGTGGAAGAGATTAACTAATACCTTCACTTCATAGCTGCAATCTATAGCTTGTTAAAACTAAATTTTGTCGCTTTTTAACTCCTTAGAAGTGTTTTATTAAAAAGGTCAACCATATCAATAGAAATAAAGATTTCAAATCAGTGGAATAATGCATTGCTTGTAACATTTTCAGGGCTTAAGGTATTTGTTTAACTCAGATAACCAGTCAGTTCAGTAGAAAAAAATCACATGGGGAAGACAGAAAAGATACACAAAAAGCTAAAGTATCTTCCAGTGAGAATCAGTTTAATTCTAAACTAAATTATTAAAAGAAATGGTTAGCAAGGTGACAGCTCTGCTGGGAAGTGTGTCCACTGTAACATCAGTTAGAGCTGCTAGAAATTCTCACAGCTGTAGCTGTTCAATTTGTAAAGAACTTTTTCAGCTACTTTTTGCTGTGAGACAAGTTGGAAGTGTTACTCGTTTGGTGTAGCCGTAATATTTTGAGGCTTCTCTTGAGCTCCAGCTCGTACACTGAGGTCAAATGAAGCCAGTGGCTAAGCACTCTGATAAGGGCAGCAGCTTTTCCTGTCTCATTAAATCCATGCATGTTTGTTTGATCTTATTAGAAAAATGTGCTGACAACTCTACTTTGAGGTTGATCCCTGAGGCTTAATAACTTCATTATGCAGTTTATTGATTTATTTTTTCTAATAATTTTTTTAAAGGAAATAAGAATTCTATTTTAATTAAAAATGGAGGTTCTAGGAGAAGCAACTCCAAATCAGGATTAAAAATTTGCCTTGTGAAAAAGTCTACTGTGTGCATTCTCACATGAATGCAGTCTTCTCTGCCCTCTCTCCTCTGCAAACTCCCTCTCTTGGGC